ATGTATGCTTGAGGGTGCAAAGAATTGAATATGAGGCCAGGTGAAAAGAAGTAATTAGAGTTGGGGTGAGCATGTTTGTTAGTCTGGGTCGCCTGTCTATTATGTAGAGTTTGTGATTCTGAGGTTTGTCTCTTACACCCTCCTGATTGGTTTAGTTCATGAAATGTTTATTTTCCCTTTATTTGTTACACCCTACATATAATAAAAAATAAAGAATGCAATTCATAAAACTAAAAGGATAGAAATTTTTAGCAAACTTATAGGTCTGATTCTAGCTGACTTTCACAACTCATAACTATCATTTTTTTCTGTTTTTTAGGTGAAAACAGCAACTCAAGCAGAAGAACAAGTTGTAAAAATGAGAAGAGACTTCGACAAACATCAACATCTAATAGGGACCAAAATCGTCTCAGATCTGTAAATGAGAAAAAGGTATTTTTTTTATTTTAATAAGAATATATTTAAAGAGAGCGTAGTAACTTTTTCTGCACTTGTTACCAAGCATTGGAAAGGCAAATATGTTACCTGCTTGGCTTCTGGAAACAAGCTGTTCGGTTGCCCTGAGAAAATTTAGAAAGCTAGATGTAAGGCTGCTGAAAAGAGATTACGGTGTGCTAAGGAGATTAAATATTGATGAACAACGCTGCTGGAATAGAGTTTAGGTGGGAACAGCATTAAGATAGAATAAACAAAAAGATAGAATAAACAATGTAATTCCCAAGAAGGGAGTAAATAACTTCAACAAAAACCATGAGAAGAAACCAATGACATTTTGCTGCAATTTTGAAACAGGCAGTGATGTACATGAAAGGAGCTTTGGAATTGCAGCACTTCCGAAGAAGAATTATGTTGGACTTGAAACATTAACTTTTTTCTTCTTTTTGCAAATACTGCCAGACCTGCTGAGTTTCCCTAGCACTTTCTTTTGATTTCAGATCTCCAGGATCCGCCCTTTGCTTTTATTTGAGTGGATTGTCTGGCACAGATGACCACAAATCAAATTTAGTAGAGCTATCTGTAATATGTAAAGCATTGAAATCATGTTGAAGTGCTAGTCAGAAAATTTTAACACTATATCATCTCCAAAACAGTTACAGGTGCAAGAACAACAATGCAATTTACAGTTAAGAGACAGCAGTTTCTAAGTGAGACAATTTAAGTAAAAATTGATTAATTCTGATTAATATTGAAAGTCTGTGATGGAATTATTGGTTGTGAAACATTATACCTGCAGCTCAAAATCTAAAAGTATTTTCTTTAATTCGACCAGATCTTGAGTATTGCTGTAGAAATAAACATACTGTTGAAGCTTTTTATGTTGCACTAATCATGACAGATACAAGAATACCAAATTTCACAGAGAACAATAATTTATATCGCATGAGAAAAATGTGCTTGCTGGTTGGAAAGTCTACTCTGGTTGAGGTATTGGCATTGAGAATGCACCAGGAAGCTATTGTCCCCAGGCTTTTGTTTGATTCAAAAAATGCATAGCACCTGGATAGACATGGTGCCACGCAGCAGGACTGCACAACCTTCGAGCTCGAGCAGATACCTGGCCACTAACCACCTGGGAGTCACCAGTGTTGAGAATTCCAACAGAAACAACCACGTGAGTGCCATGGCTGGTAGAGCTGATTAGAGGAGGTATTTTGAAATAAGTGGATCTCATCATGACTCTCCAAAGTGCTTCCATCACCTACAAGAAGAAGTCAGGGGCATGATGGAATACCAGCTACTTCCTTTGCAGATACAGCACCCCAATACCATCTAGGACAAAGAGGTCTATTTGTTTGATGCCCCATTCACCAGGTTGAATATCTGTTCTCTCCATTATCTGTATAATATAGCTGCAATACACAAGATCTTTAAGATGTTTCAGCAACTAGTTGGCTTCTTCGGCATCACCTCCCAAACTGCTAACTCTACCACCTGAAAGAACAACAGCATGGGAGCTTCATAATTTTCCAAGTTCCTCTCTAAGCTTACTTAAAAGTATACCATTTTGATTTAGCATATAGGTTAAAAGGGTTTCAAAAGATACCTGTTGCTACTTTCTCAGGGTAATAAATGTCAACCATGCCAGTGATGCCCTTATGAATTATTTTTAAAACTTGAATTTCTGCAAATGACTATCAAGACGATTGAAGATATGTTGTTCCATGGCTGCCGCTGACTCTTGTCATCCTTCCTGACTATTCATCAATTTAAACCAGATTACTTTAAAGCTCAGCATTTATCCAGTCCAGAGCTTACTTCAAATCCCACGGCTCATTCATCACCAACATCATTTATGCAAAAGTAAAATACCGTGGGTCTGGAAATCTGAAATAGAAACTAAAAATATTGAAAATACTCAGCAGGTCTGACAGCATCTTCAGAGAGAAAAAGTAAATTAACAGGTAAAATCTTGTGGCCTCAATCACCAGCTGAAAAACTGGTGAGATCCCTGCTTCAGGAAGCTCATCGCATCTTGTGCTATTCAGCTACTTAACCAAAGAGTGATGGGCCTTTTCTTAGGATTGAGCAAAGTCCAAATGCTGATAGCTGCTAACCAATTAGAGGCTGGCAGCACTTTTGTACTCATCCTTCCCAATAAGGTGATAGATGCTACTAATACTACACCAAACAGAGGCCTTGGGAATGAGAAGGGACTAGAGAGCACAAGTGATTGCCTCTGGGAAGGAGTTTGCAGGCAGAGACATCGGCAGCAAAGGCTACACATTGGAGTGATTTTCAGCAGGTCCCAATTTTTCCTGATGCCAAGTTCCTCAATTAAGCACTGGGTGCCTTTGAACAACAGATTCCCCCATCCTCAGGAACCTGCTAGAAAACATGTCAGGTTTAATACTGACGGTGGTGGGAAAGCCCATTAAGTGGGCATTAATTGTCCTTAAGGAACTCAATTGGCATCGATGTGGAAACATCATCCAACGGTCTTCACACATGGATTTAGCAGAGTCCCCACTCAGCTCCTGCCTGTTGGATTAAGCAGCCCCTCTTCCAACACCAAATTTGCTACAGGTGAGAACAAAGATTAAGCCCAGTGTTTCAGGTTGGTGACTTTACATCATAATTGGGAAAAGTTAGAGATGTACTGCAGTAAGTTTTAAGCATGTGAAAGGTGGGAGGATGGGAAAAAGAATAAAAGTGAAGCTCTGTGACAGAAAGACAGGCAGGAAATGTTAAATGAGAAAAAGATTTGTGGTGAAAGACCAAAGAGAACAATATTGGAACAGAGAACGAAACAGAAGATACACCTAAAGGAGGTATGAATAGCAGAATCATGAACAGTTGCCATCCAAATACAAAAATGGATGAAAAACCAAGGAAAACCAAAGCCAGCAAACAAAAGAGAAACAAAATGAGACAGAGTTTATGATCTAATGTATATGGACTTAATGTTTAGTCTGGAAGAAGTTTGGAAGATATATGCTCTTCCTTGACCTTACACTAAACTTCATTTTCCTGCCTTCCACCCTCTCACAGATCTTCCCTTTTGCTAGGTAAGATTCCAACCAAACATGAATGTCTGCATTGACTTTATGCTACACCTACATAAAGCCATACTTTGTCAAATGGTTCCTTGGTTTTGTTGAAATATATAAAATTCTGAGGGGTCTTAACATGGTAGAAGTTGAGAAGAAATTTCCACTAATGGGGAAATCTCGAAAAAGGGACCATAGTTAGAGAATAAGTGGATAGTCATTTAAAACTGAGATGAGAAGGAAGCTTTTCTCTCAGAATTCTATATGTCTGGAATTTATCTGCCTCAGCAAGTTGTGGGGCTAGATTTCTGTAAGTATTTAATGAAGTTGGATTTTTGACTTACTAAGTTGAAGGCTATAAGGAGCTGACATGGGCGAGGAGTTGAGGCCTGGGCCAGATCAGCTATGATCTTCTAGAATAGTGGGGTGGGCTTGAGAGAGTGAATGGCCTACTCCCCGCTCCAATTTCTTTTTGTTTATATTGTTGTCAAAGGCAATCACTCACTTCATTTCTGCAATTTAGCTTTTTATGTATGTCTGGACCAAGACTAAAATAAGTCTGGAGCTGAGTGTTTCTGTTAGTATACAAATTGAATTTGAGCATCAATGAGCAGATTATTGGTACACAAGTGCCGGTTAATACCACTGTTGGTATCTCCTTTCATTACTTTGATAAGTAAGAGTAGAATGGTGTAATACATGGCTAGCTCAGATCGGCCTGTAGTTAATGTACAGGACCTATCTAGACACGTTGCCACTTTATCTGGAAATTGACAGTTGTCAGCAGCTTAGTTAGAAGCTTAGCTAGTTCTGGTTACATCTTCAACACTATGGTTAGGATATTGTCAGCATTCATAGACTTTGCTGTATTCTGTGAATTCAGCCATTTTTTGAAATCACGTGCGGTGTGTTGCATTGTCTGTAGACTAGCATTTGTGATGCTGGGGATCTCGCAAGTTGACAAAGATGAATTCTCCATGCCCTATCTCCAACTGTGTCTAATGTCTGATAACATCAGGAGAAATGTATCCATATTCCAGTGAATAATAACCGTGCAATATTTGTAGTGTTGGGTATTTCATGAACATAGCTGTACACTACTGAATATACTTGTACCATTTTATTGCTTTCCACATATGAATGCATAAATATAATGAGCAATATCCTTATTATTTTTAATTTTACATCCAACTGTTATTTTTCTATTAGCCTGAATGGCTTTCTTTCCTTCCTGGTAGTGCTGTCGTGTTTTAATTCTTGAAAATTCTATCAACAGAAATGTAAATGTTGCAGTATCTGTATTGGCACTGAAATCAAGAAATTTTTAAAATCATTTTCTGGAAGCAAAAGATCTGACAATTTTTCTGTTTAAAAAATATTGATTGTGTCCATGCACGTTCGTGATGAGCTTTCAAAAACTGCCAAAGCATTCACTTAATTATGATCAAATAGATTACATCCTTTATTGCCTCAGGAGCTAAAACAAAACAAGTCTTGTTCAAAGATTTTAGTCATTCTACTATTTCCAAGTGAAAAGTGAAAAAGTGTCACTTAATTGTTCTTTTTATATTTTTATGGTTGTCATCCTATACCAACCATACAGAATGATACTCAGCCAGACTCTGCAGATGAAAATGACTTAGATCTGTTTTTATCAACATCAAGGAAGTCACAAGTGGAACGTGGTGGAGGGGCTGCAAAGAAAGAAAATGTCTGCCAGGTATGATATGTAAAATTCACTGACAGTGGTTTACACTGTTGCTTGCACCTTGGCTCAGTTGATGGCTCATTCTGTCTGGGACAGAAGATTAGGGGTTTCAGTCCTACTTCCAAGGCTTGAGACAAAAATTGAGACCGATGTGAAAATGCAGTACTGAGGATATACGTCACAATCAGAAATGCCATGTTTTGTATAAAATGTTAAACCAAGGTCCCTGTCATCTATCTCAAGTGGGCTTAACAGATCCCTTGGCACCATTTCAAAAAAAGACCCATGCTGTTTTGTAAATTAATGAACCACCTAACAAAATCTGAATAATGTTCCCCTTTGACAAGTGTGATCTCTGCAAATGTGATTTAGTTGCAGTTATGAAAATTATTGAATAGCTGTGATAAACTACAGCAAAGACTGTGATGCTACTTTGATTGATGAAAGTTTGTTTAAACAGCTGTATATTAACTTTGATAAAATGAAGTGAATAGACAATGGCAAGGAAAAGTTTCATTTAACTTCTTACATGTTGCCGTTAGCACTACATAAATCATGTTGGCATTGTAAGTAGATATCCTCTGTCAGTGGATTGTATATTAAAACTCAACCAGCCAATTAGTAATAACATCTGCTCGCTGCAAAATGAACAAGAAGCCGACACTGAGACTGTAATGACTGCAACTCCAACAGGCATTCTTGCACTGTTGGAGGGTTATCAAATGTTCGTTAAGCACACAAATAGTGGGCCTTCTGTACCCCTACAGCTCACCAGTTGGCTAGGCAAATATCCATTCTGTAAACTAGGTACATACTAAACTGTAAGGAACAACCAACTTAGTCAACCTGCAAGTGCCAGATGCTGGAGAAAAACATGAAACATATCTATCACTGGCTGTGTAAAACAGAACAAAATGAGTTCACTCTTAACTTAATTTGTACTGTCCTATACATCCAAGGTGTAGAAAATAAATGTCAGTTGTCTGAAAACTAGCAAAGTAACTTATGAAATATGTGTTATTGGATGGTCTCGATGGCATAAGAAAATTGAGATTGTACTTTAGCTGAGGTGATTAAAACGCTTTTCCGATCAGGAGATGTGATGTGATGTGATTTTTCTCATCTCTTTCTTTCTACATGTGGAACATTGAAGGTTGTTGCCTTATAACTTCACCAAATCCAGCAAACGCTGGCAGATATAGAATAACTTGGGAGTTTTCTGGTCCATGTGCCTTGGTGTCTCAATACATGATGCATTTACCAATGAGTTAGATAGGTAGTTTCAAACTAAACCTAAAAGCCTAGTTAAATGAAGAATTTCCATTATCAATCCATTACCTCCAAAGTGAGCACTGGAGGAGCACTTCTGCAAAATTAGCCAATAATTTTGTTACCTTCTTCCATTATATAAATGTCTGTTGTTTGATTAATCCATTTAGCAAAATTCTCCCTCTAACATAATGATGTCCTATACTTTTAGAATCGGTCATTATCTCAGTTTGGCTTTTCATAGAATCCTTACAGTGTGGAAACAGGCCCTTTGGCCCAACAAGTCCACACTGACCCTCTGTGCATCCCACCCAGACCTGTCCCCCAATAACCCACCTAATCTACACATCCCTAAACACTACGGGCAATTTAGCATAGCCAATCCACCTAGCCTGCACATCTTTGGACTGCGGGAGGAAACTGGAGGAAACCCACGCAGAGACAAGGAGAACGTGCAAACTCCACACAAACAGTCGCCCAAGGGTAGAATCGAACCTGGGTTCCTGGCACTGTGAGGCAGCAGAGCTAACCACTGAGCCATCGTGCCACCCTAGATTATAACACCTTTTAGAACAGTAGTTTCTAGTAATTATCCTACCAATGTCAGGTAGGCATGTAGCTCTGTTTACTCTCTCCTTCCTCTCAAATAGTGATGCTACATTATTTACTCCGCTTGCTCATACTCAGAAGGCAGTAACAGTTGATACAATATAATTTCATAACCTCTCACAGGCCTGTGGTAACACACAAACATTCTCGAGTCATGGGCAAGTAAGCAGATCAATAATTCTTGTTAGCAATGTTTCTGAACTGTACTGGTTATCATGTCCAACTAATGTGCAAAAGGTTCCTGTATGAAATCAGGTGGAAACAGTTCAAAGTTATCAGAAAAGGGAAGTCAAATTTATGAGTAAATTATGTGAATTGGAACTGTTTACATATTGATTGCTCCCACATTTACTTTCAAACAACTGCTTTGAGAGAAAAATAGGAATTGTGCAAAAGGTGAATCGGCATCTACAAGAGACTAACAGAATAAAACATGATGAAAGAATTTTGTACTTTGTTACAGTCCTGGACCAAACTAACAAGCTTGTTACAATTTGGCTAGGGAAAAATAATTTTAGAAAATGTGTTAGTTCCGAGGGACACCCTAAGACAATAAGTCCACAACATTCCATGGTTTCACTATACAATGTTAGGAGAGTAATACAATTTATAATACATATATTTTAACATCTAGGATTAACATGCGGTAAACATGATAGTAGACTGTGACTGACTACCGCACTGATTTAGATCCCATGGATTTCTCAGCAATTTCCCCCAGACGTTTATGACATGGTGGGTTATTAAATCTCATTAAACTTCATAACATAGTACAATTCTTCACTTTTGATGATCAGGCCTTGAACATCCTCTCAAAAGCTGCACTATAATGCGCTGCCTCAACGGCTCCCTCCATTCAGGTTGATCCTTTCCTGGTTCTGTGCTCCCTGGGCTCCAGATACTGCATGCACAGGCACTCCAGGTCTTCACTAACAGCTAGACTCACCAAGACAGCCTTGCCCCTGGATTTTTTTTTAGCCAAGTTCTAATCTTGCTCTGTTATCTAAACAAATTCTGCTTGTGAGCTTATCAAACCCTGTTCTCTTGTCTGTATTCTGTTCCTGTTCCAGAAAAGTACTATTTAGTTGATTACAGAGTCCTTGTTGATTTCTTTCAATGAATTTTGAAATATGCACACCTGTGTCATGCAAGATGAGGTGATTCTCTTGAGTTACCTTCCTTAAATGTTTTAAATTTTCACAAACTCAACTGTTCCATCTATTTCTAAACCAAGTTGCGCGCAGCCTCTGGAGAACCTAAGGTGCTTACAGGCAATGAAATGATTTTGAAGGATAGCCATTGGTGTAGTTTAGGAAGATTAGCCAATTTAAGCACAACATGCTCCTGTGTTCCCCAGAGAACACTACTGGACCCCAATTTAACATCTCTTGTGCCTGCATAAAGAGTTGCATAAACTTGACTTGCAATCATTTGAGTTTATTTAGTCTAATGGTTGAAGTATTTGAAGTGATAGAAAATGTCCGCATAGAGTTCAAATTAAGCTACTTCTTTTAGTGAGTAAAAGAGTGTAGTTTCAAAATTAGAGTTCAGCCATTCAGCATTGAAGTCATGGAACATTTTTTCTTAGAAATATTAGCGAAAAAGTGGATTTCTATCCCTAAACGCTATGGAAATGGAATCAATTGCAGTTTTTAATTCCGAAATTCATAGATACTACGGTGCAGTAAGTGAGGAATGATGGAACTAGCTCATGAGGCCTTCTGTATGTTTCTGTGCTGAAGCACTCCTTGAGTAATGTACTGAAATTCCAGCCTAGATTGAGTGCTAATGGCTCTGGAATGTGCCTTGAGACTATGAACTTCTCAATCAGATTTGAGAGTATTGTGTTTGAACTAAGGCTGACAGTTTATGACTGCACAGTAAATCTTGGCTGCTTGTGACTGTGCTCTCCCGCTCCATCTTCAAGACTAAAAGCTCCTTTTTCAGCCATGGTTAGACATTTTTCTCAAGCTTCTACAATGCTCTCAATCTTGTGTATACTCCTCTCAATTTTTTGTACCCTTCCCTTGGGTAAAGTTATTTATCAGGGCAACTGTCTTGCCTGAAAAAAATCCTGTGTGTTTGTCCATCATTCTTCTCTGGAATTGTGGATCTCATTTGTGTTTTCCAAAGGTGTCATTCCTGTTGGACGTAGTTCTTCTGCTGGCGACAAATCTGCTTCTGCTAACACCCGAGGTCACTATGCAAGTTTGCTGAAGTACAAGACCAGCTTGTGCAGGTTCATAGCTGACTCTCCACTCTTCCGCCTTCTGATTCCTTTGATTCTTTTTCACTAGTGAGCCCATTGACACACTCCCTCTTGAATGGGTTCTGCTCCTCTGCTATTGTCTCCAAATATTTTATACTTTCATGAAGGTACCAAGCTCATTTACTCTGTCTACAACTTAACTTCATCCAAAATGTAACAGTGGTAGAGGCAGAAACCCTGATAACATTTAAAAACTAATTATATGTGCACTTATGATTCCAAGACATTCAAGGCTGTGGGCCAAGTGCTGAAAAATGGGATTACAGAAGTTAGGTGCTTGTCTTTAACCGGCACAGACTTGGAGGGCTGAAGGGCCTTTTTTTTTGCGTTAGATCTCGGACTCTGACTATGGCAAACACAGGACCCCAGCCTTTAGCATTGAGTTGTTTATATTGTTTTATTATTGTTCTTTCTCAAGACAAAAAAGGGCAGGACTTACACAATTAGTGTTCGAGCCTTGGGTAGTGTTGTATAACAGAGAGACCTAGGGGTTTAGGTACTTAATTCTTTGAAATTTGCGTCACAGATAGATAGGGTGGTTAAGAAGACATTTAGCATGCTTGTCTCCATTGTTCAGACCATTGGGTATAGGAGTTGGGATGTCATGTTGATGTACAGGACGTTGGTTAGGCCTCTTCTGGAATACTGTATCCAGTTCTGGTCACCTAGTTGTAGGAAGGATATTATCAAGCTGGAGAGGGTTCAGAAAGGATTTACCAGGAAGTTGCCAGGAATGAAGGGTTTGAGTTATAAAAATAGCCTGGATAGGCTGGGATGTTTTTGACTAGAACGTAGGAGGTTGAGGGGTGACCTTAACATCGTGAGGGGCATGGATAAGGTGAATAGCAAATGTTGTTTCCCTAAGATGGGGAGAGTCCAAAACTAGGAGACATATATTTTTAAAGTGAGAGGAGAAAAATGTGAAAAGGACACAAGGGGCAACTGTTTTGCACAGAGAGTGGTTAATGGGTGGATGAACTGCCAGAGGAATTGTTGGATGCAGGAACAGTTCCAACATTTAAAAGAAGTTTGGATAAGTACACGAATAGGAAAGGTTTGGAAGGATATGGGCCAAACGCAGGCAGGTGGGACTAGTTTAGTTTGAGAACATGGTTGGTGGGGACTTGTTGGACTGAAGGATTTGTTTCAATGCTGTATGACTTTATATGCGTGTCGCAGGTTAGGCCAGCATTTATTTCCTATCTGTAAATGTTCTAGAGAATGTGGTGGTGAGCCACAGCCAAGAATCTCTGCAGTCTGTGGTAGTGTCTGTACGCCCAGTGCTGTTGGAAAGGAAGTTCCAGGCTTTTGACTGCTGTACTCTGTTCTCAATTACTCTGTTATGTCTGTGTAATCTAAGTTCCTCTGTGTCCATTTCGGTGTACATTTTGGATCATCATGACTGCCCATATTCCTAAAACCCTCTTCCCTGCGGTCCACACTCATCCAGTGTTCCCTGGAACTTCTGTTTGCTGTGCATGACTGACTTGTTGAACTGGTCCATTTAAAATTGATGCATAGCCAGTCATGCCACATTGTTCTCTGTGGGGTACAATTCAAGTTATAGTACAGCAGTGCACATACACAGCAGAAGGGAAACATTGCATTCACCTCCAACAGATTGTAATGAGCTTGTGAAGATTATTTACCAAACTATATCAATTCCTCATCCCACCAGTTTCCATCCTCCTGAAACTCGCTTTCTCTTGTGCCTGCTCTCTTTCTCTCGTGCTTGCTGTCCCTTTTGCACATATGCTGTCTCTCCCTTTCCCTCTGTCTGTCTCACTTGCACGCGCTCTTCTCACCCTTTTTCCTCCTGACTTTCACCTGCACCCACCACTGAATTCCTTGCCATCACTATCCTGTGAGGTACCATTGATCAGAAGCTCTACTGGACCAACTGTATAAATACTGTGACTACAGGAGAGATCAGAGTTAGGAATCTCTGCTATAAGTAACTCTTCCCACCTCCCCAAAGTCTATCAACCATCTACAGGGCACAAGTCAAGAGTTTAATGGAATGCACTCCACTTGCCTGGATGAGTACAGCATCCAGTAACATTAAAAATGCTCAACAATACCTGGATAGCTTGAATGGTACTCTATTGACCACCTTAAACATTCACTTCCCTCGTTGCTGGCAGTGTGTATTGCATTTCGACTATTGCAACTCACCAAGCTTCCTATAAGAGCACCTTTCAAACTAATGGTCTTGGCACAAGAAAGAAGACATCTGCAAACAAATAGGAGTACTACTGCCTGCAGGTTCCTTTTCAAGAGACTGGGAGGAGTGTACAACAAGTCAGTGTCACTATGAAACAGATTGGGAGAGTAATCCTGCATGAGAAGCACGGCAGGAATGGGGGATAAAAACTGGTGGTGGAGTGCTCCCTCAACCAACTTCTACATGTCAGAGCTGAAGAGTGACGAAATAGGAAAACAGCTGATTGGTGGGTGTTTTTTCACTGTGTCTGTTTTGGTTGACCATGCTTTTAATCAGGAGACTTTATTACAGCTGAAGAATCCAGTTAGGAAATTCACTTAAATATTTAACATCGAAATGAATTAATTAGATAAAATAGACAGGCAGTGCTATTGCATCTGTCATTTGTGGGATCTGATGGACATCAGTGTGATCCACAATAAACACATCTGCAATAAATGTTGGTTGCTCAAGGGACTTGACAGTGCAACAGCGTGGATGTCAGGAAATAGTGGAGGCATGTATGAAGGGCACTACACTTGCCATGGATGATTTTAATCTGCACAGTGACTGGACAGCTCAGGCTAGAATAACATGGAAGACAAATTTGTAGAATTGTTTCTTAGAGCATTACATTGCATAACCTGCCCAGGAACGGGCTATTTTAGATCTAGTAGTGTGTACTGAGGGAGAATTAATAAAAAATCTCATCGTTAAGGATCCTTTAGTGGGAAGCATTTGCATCGTAGAATTTCAAACTTGTTTGAAGGGAAATACAACTCAGATTTTGAACCAATTGTCCTCAATTTAAATAAGAGCAAATATAGAGGTCTTCCACCATTTGAGATATCGAGAAGATGTTTTCATGATTTGGGGAATCTCGAACTAGGGGACATAGTGCCACACATTTGAAACTGAGATGTGAAGGAATTTCTCCTCACGGGGGTAGTGTATGTCTGGAGACCAGATCGCTGAAAGTATTTATAAGAGGAGGCAAGTAGATTTTGAAATATTGAGGAGTTGAGGTCTACGAGTTAAGGTAGATTTTGAAATATTGAGTTAAGTTAAGGAGTTAAGCTGGCATAAAGAAGAGCTGATGTTGGGATCAGATCAGCCTTGATTTTATAGAATGGGGACATTTGAGGGGTTAAATAATCTGTACGTGCTCCTTTAGGTTGTGTTCTAAACCATATCACAGTAGCTTTGCTGTTGCTGGTACAGGAACCTGGAACTCACTTTCTAGCAGTATTGTGGATGTACCGTCTCAAACTTGTTAGATCTTACTACTTTTACATCTTCAGTCAATTTTGTAACCTCTCACTTTCTGCCGAGTCCAAATTATATCGGCACAAAGTTTGGCCAGCGTTATCTGGGATGCAGTGTTTCAACCCCTTTCCTATCCAGCATGATGGAATTTTAAATAATTAAGCAGCTTTGACTTAAAGCTACTTAAAATTGTAATGGTAGAACACTTGTTTTGATTAAAAGGTACTTAAGCAACACTAGAACATTCTGATTTCTAAACTTCGTTCCCCTTCAAAGCACCAAACAGGGATAGGAATTATTGACTTTTCAATTAGATTACATTTTGCCACTTACAACTAGTGTTAATCCATTGTCTTTTCAGAATGGTATATTTAACAGCTTGCTTTCTTCCCTCTGCTCTAAAGCTGTGCGAGAAAACTGGAGAGTTGCTGCTATGTGAAGGACAATGCTGTGGCGCCTTCCATTTAAAGTGCCTAGGTTTAACCAAAATGCCCGAGGGGAAATTCATGTGCAGAGAATGTACCACAGGTAAAATATGTACTGATATAGCAATGTTTACCTATTTCACAATTTATAATTTACAAGATTGATTTGTGGTATTCTACTTCCATATCAATTTAAAATACACTGATGTTAGACTAAATCATTTGGTAAATTTTCTGAACCTACCTTGAGAAAACAACAGGCGGCTCAGGGTTGACCTAATAGCAGTCTTTAAAATGATAAGAGTTTGATTGGGTAGTGATAGAGATAGAGCTTCAACCTCTAGGATCGTTCAAAGCTAGGAACCTTAAAGATAGTAAAGTCACTAATTAATCCAATGAAAAGTTCAGGAATAGTTTCTTTACACAGTTTGTAACTTGCTACCATGAAGAGTACTTGAGACAAATAGCGTGGATGCATTTAAAGAGAAGCTCGATGAGCGCTTAAGGGAGAAAGGAATGGAAAGTTATGCTGATGGGGTGGGAAGTGACTCATGTCAAGTATGAAGCTTGGCATGAGCCATTTGAGCCGTTTTTGTCCTGTAAGTTTTTGTAATTCTGTGCATTATCTGTAAAGGGCATGTGTTGTTTGTTTACCAATTAAGCATAAAATACCCATCCTGAACCAATTTGTAATGTTATATTTCTCAGCTGCTCTCCCATACTAGGAGAGTATTGTCATCTCCTTTAACAATCTTTCCACCCCCCCCTACAGTGTAACAGTCCTATGGCAAGACCATAAGACAAAACAATCAGAAGCAGACCATTCAGCTCATTGAATCTGCTCCATCACAGCTGATCTGATAATCCTCAAATTCACTCTCCAGCTTTTTCCCCATAATCCCTTACTGATTAAAAATTTTATCTATCACAGCCTTGAATATTCTTATTGTCCCAGTCTCCACAACATTCTGTGGTAGACTATTCCACAAATCCACTAGCTCCTGTGAAGAGAAATTCATCCTCATTTCTGTCTTAAAAGAGTAACTCCTTCTTCTGAGACTGTGCCCTCTGCTCTCTGATCCTAGACTCATCCAGAAAATTTTTGAATTTATTCTGTCAAGTTGCTTAATCTTGTATACTTCAGTAAGGTCACCTTTCATTCTTCTAAACTCCAATGTGTACAAGCCCAGTCTACTCAACCTCTCCTCATAAGGCAGTCCCTCCATACTAGGATCTGCTGAGTGAACCTTCATAGGATTTCCTCCAATGTCAGCATATCTTTCCTTAGATAAAGGGCCTAAAACTGTTTCTGCTGTGTTTTGACTAGTGCCTTGTATAGTTCTATCAAGACTTCCTTATTTTTAATCGAACTGGACAAACGTGGCAAGTCTGGCAGCATCTGTGGAGAAAACAAAACAGTTGACCTCTCTTCAGAACTGCAACCACATGAGCTCTTATCTTATTAAATAGTTTAATGTGTCGTCAGATGCCTTCTGGAAATCCAGAAGTATTATATCCAATGTTTCTCCTTTATCTATCCTCTTTGCCACTTCCTTAAAAATTCCAATAAATTTTTCAGGCACATTTCTCCTTCATGAAGCAGTGTTACTCCAATTGGTCATATTGTTTGCTAAATGCCCTGCTATTTACATCCTTTATAATAAACTCTTAGCATTTTTTGCAATAAGGGACGTCAACTTAACAGGCCTATAGTTACCTGTATTTTTTATCTCCTTTTTTTAAATAAAGGTACTATATAGGCATTTTACTAGTCCTCTGGGGCTTGATCAGAATCTAAGGACTCTTGAAAGATTGATACCAGTACATCCACTGTCTCTGTAGCTAGTTATATTAATATTCTAGGATGCATCCCATTTGGTCCAGGGGATGCATTGGTGGATGAGTACGTCCTTACAGCACTTCAAGTGTGGAATATTAGGCCTTGTTCAGTTAATGAATACAAAAACTCTTTAAAGCTTCTTCAGAAGATAGAAGAAGTAGCTTAAAATAAGTTAAGTTTGCATATGGAGCTTTATTTGTTTATATTAAAACTTTCTGGAAAAATAACAATCATTGTCAACTGTAAGCTACTTTATGTTGCACAAAGCTATTATACTCCAAATCTATCCTGGATAATGCTAAGTAATATTCAAATAAATAGAACGTATTGAGTGGTGGGGATTGAATAATAAACTAACAACAATTGGCGCTGGTGACATCAGAAACTACAAAGATGAAGTCAGAGGTAGGGTGACTTAAAAATAAGGGAATATTTTTAATATGTTGAGTCAAAAAAATGTCTTGGTCACAATTGCAACATATTGCTTTGGAGGACTATTGAATGATTTCTGTGAAAATGGGGATCATTGCTACAAACTACTTTGCAGCTAAGAAATTAGGTACAGTTGATTAGATACAGTTTGTGGTGAGAATAATAAACTAAACACATAGGACGATAACAAATGTAATATATAATGTGATGAAGGAGAAGGCAAAGAAGCAAAAATAATTGTATATTGGGTGATAAAATTATGTGAACTTCAAAGGTGGAACTTAAGTTGTTGGCTAGTTAGAATGTCCAGTCACTATGATACCACAGTGTGTTTTTCTGATGTGTAATGTCTGCTTTGCACAATACGGTTTTTTCTTACACTAGAAAGGACTTGACAAGGGTGGAGCCATTTAAAATTAAACTTGAAGAAGAACACAGGTAATATGTACAAATGAATGTACAAGCTTGTATAGAGGCCTTACACTGTGATATTAGAAAAGAAAGTTAGCACAAGAATGTGGAAAAGCTTTCTCCTGATTGTTGTCAAAGTTCACTTGACAAATGAAGCTTCTGAGCATTTTAGTGACATTCTCTAAGTGTGACTGTGCTTCTCCCAACAAGTCAAAAAGTTACCATTTGTTTTCACCAGGTGTTCATACTTGCTTTGTATGTAAAGAAAATGAGAAGGATGTGAAGCGATGTCTTATGCCATTGTGTGGGAAGTTTTATCATATGGATTGCATTAAAAAATACCCTACCACTGTAATGCAGAACAAAGGATTCCGGTGCTCACTCCACGTTTGTCTGTCTTGTTACGCCTGCAACCCTACTAATCCAAGAGCGAGCAAAGGTACTGTATACAGAAAATATTCTTTACAGAAGATAATATTCAGAGCAAGTTGAGAAAGAAAAGCACTTTCTTTGGGAGCTGTAGTCAGTTCAACTGGAATTTGCTTTGTTTCATTCCTTGTGAACTTCTAACAAGTCTGGATTTAAACTTCATAAATGCCTCAGTTAATTTTCTTTGATCAATGTTTATTCCTGAGTTCCTTAGAATTTTACACTGATGAATATTGTCCAGTTAATACACCTATGAATCATCTTGGGATCCTTACTACATATAAATGCTGTAATATCTTTGTTGTAGAGTCATACAGCACGGAAACATTACCTTCTGTCCAACCAGTCCATACCGAGCATAATCCCAAACTAAACTAGTCCCACCTGCATGCCATGTCCTTCCAAACCTTTCCTATTCATGTCCTTAACTAAGTGTCTTTTAAATGTTCTAACCATGCCAGCATCCACCACTTCCTGAGGAACTTCATTCCACACGCGAACCACCCTCTGTGTAAAAAAGAAATTCCTCGTATCTTTTTTTCAATCTCTCCTCTCACCTTAAAAATATGCCCTCTTGTCTTGAAATCCCCCCATCCTAGGGAAAAGACACCTACCATTAACTCTACTATAAGTTGTTGGATTGAGTGAAAATTAGTGTGAAAGTAACTTTAAATGTGTAATACCGAGTGTCAAGCCTGAATAGATTAGTCTGTAATATAATGTAATGTATGTTGTTCCTGTTTATACGTATTTATGTCTTTGTGTAATTAGGTCGAATGATGCGCTGTGTGCGGTGTCCTGTGGCTTATCATGCCAGCGATAATTGTTTGGCAGCAGGATGTGTGGTCCTGGCTTCAAACAGTATCATATGTACTAACCACTTCACTCCACGGAGGGGCTGCAGGCATCATGGTCATGTCAATGTCAGCTGGTGCTTTGTATGCTCAGAAGGTAAGGTAAAGTTGCAAGTAACTGATGTTTATTTCCTTTTTCCTCAATATCTTTTCTACCCCTAATTAGTTTATTTTCCTGAAGATCCTGCAGCTTGTTTACAACAACCATGTACAGATTGCTATTATGTTCCTTATTTTCTGATTAATACGTTTTGCCTATTTTAGTGCATATCAACCATAAAACAGAGTTGGCATCTGCATTAAAGTCACGGACCAAAGAATGTCACACTAACGCATTAAGTATTCATGCATTAATATAATAAATAATAATTGCAGTTTCCTCCACTTAAAAAGGACAGTTATTTGTATAAACTAGAAAGGATGACCATTAACCATTCAAGAGCATAGAAAAAAGTAAGAACAGGAGTAGGCCATTCGGCCTATCGAACCTGCTCCAACAATCCACACATCCACTTTCCTGCCCTCGCTCTATAATCCTTGATTCCCCTACTGATCAAGATTCTTATCTATCTCAGGCTTAAATCTAGACAAGGAGTTTGACTTCACAGCCCTGTTTGGAAAGAAGTTCCAAAGACACTCAACCCTCTGAGAGAAGAAATTCCCCCCCATCTCAGTGTTAAATTGCCACCCTTTTAATCTCAGATTATGCCCTTGGATCCTCGACTCTGCCATGAGGGGAAACATCCTCTCAACATTTACCCTGCCAAGCCCCCTGAGAATCCTATATGTTTCAATGATACCACCTCTTATTCTTCTAAATTCCAATGAGTAGAATCCCAACCTGCTTAACCTTTTCATCATAAGTCTCCCTCCAAACAAGGGATCATCCTGGTGAACCTTCTTTGAACTGCCTCCAATGAAATAATATCTTTTTCTTAAATAAGAGGACCAAAATTGCTGACAGTACTCCAAATGTGGTCTCACCAGCACCTTGCATAGTTGCAGTAAGACTTCCCTACTCTATACTCCAATTCACTTGAAATCAGGGCCAACATTCCATTAGCCTTCTTGATTACCTGCTACACCTGTGTGCTAGCTCTCCGTGATTCATTCATAAATACCCACTTTGTGTTGCAGCTTTCTATATTTTTCTCCATTTAAGTAATAATCTGTTCTTGTGTTCTTCTTCCAAAGTGAACAACTTCACATTTTCCCACTTGATACTCCATTTGACAACTTTTTGCCTACTTACTTAACCTATCAATATCTCTGCGTAAACTGTTTGTATCCCTCTCTCAACCTGCTTTTGGCTACAGTACATTCACTTTAAGTCATTAATATATATTGTCAATCGTAGTGGTCTTAGCACTAGTCGCTATGAAACTCCACCGGTTCTGAGGAAGGGTCACCGGACCCGAAACGTTAACTCTGTTTTCTCCTCCATAGATGCTGCCAGACCTGCTGAGCTTTTCCAGCAACTTTGTTTTTGTCCACTGGTTACATATGACCAAACTGAAAAAGAACCCATTGTCCCACTCCTGTTTCCTGCCCATGAGCCAATTCTGTATCCAGGCCAGTGTGCTACCTCAAACACCATGGGCTTTTATCTTCTGACTTCACCTTTTTGTGACGTACTTTGTTGAATGCCTTCTGGAAGTCCAAAATACAGCATGCCTCCTGGCTCCCCCCTATCCACTCTTGTTGAGACTTCCTCAAAAAACTCTAATAAATTAGTCGGACACAATTTTCCTTTCATGAAGCCATACTGACTCTGCTTGATTAGATTATGATTTTCCAAGTGTTCTGCTATTACTTCCTTAATAATTGATTCCAAAACTTATTAGGCTAATCGGCCTACAGTTACCTGCTTTTCACCACCTTGCATTGCAGTGGCATGTGAAACCTGAAGTCAATGCTAGGAATGGTGCCAGCTTGTCAATTGCTGTGCAACTTAGAGGGAATGTTGCCTAGCGACCACCTCATAAAACTCAGTCAAATTTATTAGACATGATCTCCCCAATTGCTGTGCTGTCTATCCTTGACTAATCCTTGCCTCTCCAAGTGGAGATTAATTCAGACCCTCAGCAACTTTTTCTAGTAGTTTCCTTTCCACTAAGATTAGATACACTGGTCAGTCGTTTCCTTGTTTATTCCCACAACGCTACTTGAATAATAAAGCTACATTTGCTGTCTTAGTGTTCTGCTTTAGTCAGACAATTTGAAAATTGATGTCAGAGCCCCTGCAGTTTCCTCTATTGTCTCTCATAGGACCCTGGGATACATTTCATCTGAGCCTAGGAATTTACCTGCTTTTAAGCCTACTAAACCACTAATATCATCTCCTCAAAGCTAATTTATTAAACACACCACTGTACCTTTCCTTAATTTGTATACCTGCATCATCCAATGCTATGTGAATACAGATTCAAAGTACTCATTTAAAACCGCTCCTACATCTTCTAGCTCCATACACAGGTTGCCACTTTAGACCCTAATGTGCTCTACTCTTTCCGTGATTATCCTACTTTCCTCAATGTAATTATAAAATGCCTTTGGATTACCCCTTATTTTATGCACCAGTGTTTCTTCATGCTCCCTCTTTGCTCTCCTAATTTATTTTTAAATAACTCCCTGCATTTCATGTACTCCACTAGAGTGCCCTTGATAACTTCCCTTTTATCTTTATCAAATCCTGTACAACTCTTGGATGGTTCCCTGGACTTGGAACAGGTTGACTCTGCACTCTCATTGTTTCCTTTTTGAAAGATTCCCACTGTTATGATGAATTTCCTACAAGCAGTTGCTCCCAGTTCACTTTAGCCAGATCCTGTCTTATCATTGTAAAAATTGATCACCTTCCCCACCATGCTCCCCCAACAAAAAAAATTCAGAAACTTTACTTCTGGTGCATCTTTGTCCTTTCCCTATCTGGCTGAGATTTTATTGAGTTATGGCTGCTATCACCGAAATGCTCCCTGACTGACACTTACCCTATTTTGTTCCCTAAAATTATGTCTCGAATGTGTCCCTCACTTTTGGACTTTCTTAATGCTTACTTGAAAAACTCTCTTGGGTATGTTTTAAGAATTCCAGTCCTCCTAAGCCTTTCCAAGTTGATTACACCTCTGAGATTTGTTTGTGTATCTGTCCTATCTCTCCTTGACTGTACAGTCCCAGCAGTGTGACTGCCCCCTTTTTGCTTTTAAGTTTTACACAAATGGCCTTATTTGAGGATCTTTAAGGTATCATCCCTCCTAATTGAAGTACTGACTCCTGGATCACTACCTCTTTAACACACACACCCCAAAGATTCTATACCATCAGAATATTGAGCTGCCAATCCTGTCCCTCCCTCACATGCATTTATGATTAATATAGATATCATATTCCCATGTGCTAATCAACACCCTCAACTCATCCGACTTACTCACAAGACTCCTTGCATTAAAATAAATGCAGTCCAGCCTTGCAGTACTCCCTTGTGCCTTAACTTGATTATAAATGTTCCACCTTGAGATTGACTGACTTTTTTCAGTACTTGTCTGTATTTCACCGCCCACTGTACCTCTACTCCATATCCCGTATCCTTGCCAAAATCTCTACCAGCAGCACTAGCAAGCCCTGCAAAGATGTTGGTGTCATTCTTGTCCAGGTCCAAACCATCAGACATGTACAGGACCAACCTACCCCAGGTGATCCAAAAATTTAAAGCACTCCCTTCTGCACCATGTGTTCATCTGCTGTATCTGCCTTTTCCTGTATTGTCACACTAATGGTAGCTTTTTACATGTAGCTGTGCGTCAGTTACTTAAAAAAAGCATGTGTTGGAACTTGGGTCTGTTATAGAGTCATAGAGCCATACAGTACAGAAAAAGACCCTTTGGTCTAACCAGTCCATGCTGAGCATAATCCCAAACTAAACTAGTCCCACCTGCCTGCTCCTGGCTCATATCCCTCCAAACCTTTCCTATTCATGCATCTATCCAAATATCTTTTAAACATTGTAATTGTACTACAATCCACCACTTCCTCAGGAAGTTGGTTCCCTCTATAAAAAATTTGCGTCAAAATCTCTCTCTCACTTTAAAAATGTGCCCCCAAGTCTTGAAAACCCCATCCTAGGGGAAAGGCAACTGCCATTAACTCTATCTGTCCCTCTCATTATTTTATAAACGTCTATCACGTCGCCTCTCAACCTCTTGCTCTCCAGTGGAAAAAGTCCCAGCCATTCTTTATAACTCAGACCTTCCATAACTGGCAACATCCTGGTAAATCTCTTCTGAAACCTCTCCAGCTTGATGGTATCCTTCCTATAACTACGTGACCAGAACTGGATGCAGTACTCCAGAAGAGGCCTCACCAATGTCCTGTACAACGTCAACATGACTTCCCAACTTCTATACTCAAAGGACTGAGCAGTGAAGACAAGCATGCCAAACACCTTTTTGACCACCTTGTCTATATGTGACACAAACTTCAAAGAATTATGTACCCTCTGTTCTACAACATTACCCAAGGCCCTACCATTAATTTTATAAGCCCTACCCTTGTTTGTTGTACCAAAATGCAATACCTCGCATTTATCCAGATTGAACTCCATCTGCCATTTTTCAGCCCATGGACCCATTTGATCAAGATTCCTTTGTAATCTTAGAAAACCTTCTTCACTGTCTACAGTGTCGCCAATTTTGGTGTCATCCACAGACTTACTAACCATATCTTCTATATTCTCATCCAAATCATTTACATAAAACATGACAAACAGAAGAGGAGCCAGAACCGATCCCTATGGATGACCGCTAGTCGCAGGCCTCCGGATAAAAAAGCATTACTCTGTTCCTGCCGTTAAACCAATTATGTATCTACTTGGCAAGATCATCTTGAATCCCATGTGACTTAACTCTACTGATTAGTCTACCATGTGGAACCTTGTGAAAGACTTTACTAAAATCCAAATAAACGCCGTCTACTGCTCTGCCATCACAAATCTTTTTGGTAACTTCCTCAAAAACTCAATCAAGTTTTTCTGCGCAAAACCATGCTGACCATCCCTAATCAATTTACGCCTCTCTAAATGTCCACAAATCCTATGTTTTATAATCACCTTCAACAATTTACCCACTACCGAAGTCAGACTCTCGGGTCTATAGTTCCCCGGTTTCTCCTTACAATTTTCCTTAAGCAAAGGTACATTATATCTCGTGCCAATTTAAACACTGTGGGCTATGTAATTAGTGCTTTCCTAATGTATTGTGACTTCAATTTTAATGGAGCAGTGGTGATTATTGACTATACTATCAAATCCTTTCAGTTTTGATTCTGCACAAGTCTGGATATCCCATAGGTTAGCACTAATAACCCATAGATTAGGAATAATAAAGAAGGAATTATTATCATGAGACTGTATCACGTAATGGTGTTAGTGAGAATGAGAAAGGAGCTCCTGAAAATCAGAAAATAGTGTGAGAGAATATTTCAAGACAGCCCTAAGAGACATTTTTTTAAAAAAAATTACTTTGACCTTCCTCTTGCTGTTTCTCCTGCGTGCTGCTACATGTGCTGATAGCCTCTGCTGCTGACCACCTCTCTGGCTCCCCGATCCACTGGTTTATGATCAGTCATGCTTCTCTACCCTCCTACTTCGCATCTGTCTCTTGTCCTTTTCTGTCTCACCCCACCCCCTCTCACACCATACCCCTCTCACCACCCAGCCCCCCCCACCACCCCTCTCGCCCTCCCTCGCCCCCTTTCTCGCTCTCGCTCTCCCTTCCCCCCCGCCGCTTCTCGCTCTCCCTCCCCCCCCTTTGTCTCTCTTGCCCTTCCCTCCCACCTCCCCCCACGCACATGCACACACATGCACACCCTCCCTCTCCCTCTCATCCATCTAGTGACGGCAGCTGCAGTTGCAGGCTGTCAGGGGTAAGCTGCAACTTAGGCAGAATTTCCTCTTGAGATTATTTGTGTGTGCCTTCTTTTATGATCTCTAATTAAGTTTTTATTTCAAGATCAAGTTCTCCATTGATCAATAATTTCATGTTGCATTTACTATTCTTTCCTCCTTACCATTTGCTGATATCTAAATTGTTAATGTATGCATGTTTATTGTCAGGTGGCAGTTTACTATGCTGTGAGTCATGTCCTGCTGCCTTTCACCGTGAGTGCCTGAACATTGAGATGCCTAAAGGAAAATGGTACTGCAACGATTGTAAGGCTGGCAAAAAGCCTCATTATAAAGACATCATCTGGGTTAAACTTGGTCGATACAGGTTAGTCTGGAAATAAATGAATACAAAGAATGCTAATGTTGATTGGATATAAAACAATTTAAATTGCACATGTCTTGACAGGGTGCAACTCAGTTCAATTCCAATTTAAAGAAAAGGAGTGTGATTCTGTCTCTAATGATGAGACAGAATACAGGAAAGAGAGAGTGCTTGGTGGCAAAACAAAAGAGCTGGTAATTGACTTCAAGAAGCAAGGTTGAGGACATGCGCCTGTCTACATCAGCGGTGCTGAGGTGGAGATGGTCCAGAGCATTGAGTTCCTAGGAGTGATCACCAGCAACCTATCCTGGTCCACCCACGTTGATGCTACGGTCAAAAAGCACAACAAACTCTCTACTTCCTCAAGAGACTAAGGAAATTCGGCATGTCCATAAAGACTCCTACCAATTTCTTTAGATGCACCATAGAAAGCATTCTATCCAGATGCATCACAGCTTAGTACGGCAATTATTCTGCCTAGGACCCTAAGAAACTACAGAGAGTTGTGAACACAGCCCAGTCCATCACGCAAGCTAACCTTCCATCCATTGACTCCATCTATACTTCTCGCTGCCTCGGGAAGGCAGCCAACATTATCAAAGACCCTTCCCTCCCTAATTGTAATCTCTTCCAACCTCTTCCATCGGGCAGCAGAGATACAAAAGCTTACACACAGGTACCAAATGATTTAAGAACAGCTTCTTCCCTGCTGTTACCAGACTTCTGAATAGACCTCTCAAATTTTAAATTTAATGTTGATCCCTCTCTTTGTGAACCTTCTCTGCAGCCTTAACATTGTATTTTTCACTCTGTATTTTTCACTCTGTTCTGTTACCCTAATGCAATTTGTATGGTATGATCTGCCTGTACTTCATGCAAAGCAAAACTTTCCACTGTACCTATGTGTATGTGACAATAATAGATCAAATCAAATTAAAGAACCTGAACTTCTTGCCTCTGAATCTACCAAGGAGTAAGTGTTGATCGACAAATTTTAGGACGCAGAAGCTGCTGGCCTATTAATCTGCTGATTTGCAGGCAATTAGGCTAGTTACCTCATTGGGGGTGGCGTGTTAATCACCACTTAATCAGCATTTAACACACATGTCTACACTTCGAAAAACTATTAGGAAATCGAGCCCACAAAATGCAAGGAACTAGAAAATGGTAGCAAGCCCTTTTTTTTTTTTTGCAAAAATCATGTAAAATATGTTGGGGCTGGGTTTGTGGCACAATTGAAGCATGTCAGACACCAGATCGGCAGGTTAAGTGTTCAAGTCACATCAGGCTGAGGAAGCTTTTGGGACCTCTTGTAGCATAGTGGCAATGTCCCTACTCCTGGTTGGGGAGGCTAGGGTTCAAGTCTTACCTGCGTCAGAGGAGTATAATAACGTTATTGAACAGGTTGATTAGAAAAGTATTGTTTTTTTTATTAACCTGTGTTCTGAAACTTAGCTTGTGAAGCAGGTTCTCGCTGCCTCACAAAAGTAAATCCAGAATATATAAATGTTCAGTGGAAAAGGCAGAGTTTGGT